AAGGAAGGAAGGAAGGAAGGAAGGAAGGAAGGAAGGAAGGAAGAAGATTTATTTTGCCCCATGGTAAAATAAATCTGAGCTTTTTATTCATGGTCACTTGGCCCTGTTGCCTTGAGCCCTACTGTGAAACAGGGGCATTCAACATGGCCAGGGGGCACAGAATGGGGGAGGGGCAGGGTCCTGCTGTACCTTTCCAGGGACACCCCCTCCTGCCCTCCCATGACCTACTTCCTGAAGTCTCTGCCACTTCCCAACAGCACTGTCTGCTGGGGACTGAACATCTAAGACATGAGCTTTCACAGGGGTTATTCAAGATCAAACCATAACAGTCTGTTTCTTTTTCTTTTCACAGGAGATTGTGACTGCTTTAAGCTATGGCAAGAACATTGTGCCCATCATTGATGGCTTCGAGTGGCCCGAGCCTCAGGCACTGCCTGAGGATATGCAGGCTGTACTCACCTTCAACGGCATCAAGTAAGCCCAGGGCCCTAGGGAGAGTTAAGGAAGGAGCTGTGTGTGTGTGTGTGTGTGTGTGTGTGTGTGTGTGTGTGTGTGTGTGTGTGTGTGTACCACGTATGTGTACTCTCTCTCCCTCTCTCTTGCTTGCGTGCACGCATGTGTGTGTGTGTGTGTGTGTGTACTCTCTGTGTGTGTACATTGTGTGTATACCGTGTGTGTACACCTCCCCCCAAACCAAAAGTGCTGGCCCACAGCAGCCTCTGCCCACCCTCTGACCCATTTGGCCTCTGTGTCCATAGATGGTCCCACGAGTACCAAGAAGCCACAATTGAGAAGATCATCCGCTTCCTGCAGGGCCGCCCCTCTCAGGACTCCTCTGCCGGTTCTGATACCAGTTTGGAGGGAACTGCACCAATGGGCCTGCCTTAACTTGCCCCCAGTTCCCACGTCCTGCTGTGACTCCTGGTCCCATCATCTCCCCACCCCTAAAGGAATAGCTCCTTTAGAGCCGCCCTGGGCTGAGACAGAACAAACTTTTCTCAGGAAATGGCTTTCCCTGCTGCCACCCTGTGGCCCACTTCTAACCCAGAGATGCCAGAGAAGACTCTCCTCTGTCAGGCTCCAACTCACATCCAGAGCCATGGCCCTGCTTAGATACGGATACTCAAGCTAGAGGAAGGACATTCTCCCATCTCCTGCCCCAAGAGCAGCCAGCTTGAGTAGGGTAAGTTTGGCAGGCTCTGGAAGGAGTAAGGACAATGCCTAGGCCCTGTACCTGGGCCCAGGAGGCATCTGGGATTGAAGATCCCTCAAAGGCTGTCCACTCACAGTGTGCCTGGCCCCTGGCTCACCTGGCTTCCTGCTGCCTCATGCCCTTGCTCTGTAACTATCTGGTACCCCCTGCCAGATTATTTAGGCAGCCTCCTTTGCCATGTTGGGAGTCAGGGTGCATCTGAGCTGGCCCTCTGCCTGGCCTTGCTGCCCTTTCTGGTGCAAGAAGGGGCCCCTTGCTTGTGCAGGGAGACCCTAAGAACCCACTCTAGCCCAAACCCCTGCTGTGCCTAAGGCTCTTGCCTAGCCTGCTCCACCTGGCTTCCCCAGCTCCTCACCCACACAGGGCTTGTCACCCTCTTGCTCAGAAGAGACCAGGGAAGCTCCAGCCCAATAGCCTGAGCAGGACCTACACCATGGGAAACAGGCAAGACCTACACGGGCAAGGGCCACTTCCTGGGGCAGTTTCTCTCACAGAAGTGTGTCCACATCCACTGGGGAATCTTGTCAAAACAGAGTAGGCCATGTGGGTAGTACCTGAGCTGCTGAGGTCTTCAGATTCCCAAGTGAGCTAAGGCCCTCGCCAGTCCCTGCCATGTTCCAAACACCCCAACCCTGGTCCCTAACCCTCATAGCAGCCTTTTCCAGTCCTGTCACCCCAGTTTTACAGAGAAGAGTGGCTGAATGATAGGCCCAGGTCCACAAATCATTGGTGGCAACATCAGAATTCTGCCCTAGTCCTGGCACCCAGCACCACAGTGTCCAGACCTGTTCTCCTGAGACTCATCCTAGAGACTGTGCCGCAAGCTGGGTAGCAGCCTCTCCCTGGCCCCAAAGAACTGAGCTGTACAGTGTGGGTCTTAGCCAAAAGGCCAAGCCAGGGGCATACTGAAATGCTGGGCAGGACTGTCCCATATCCCTCTCCACTGGACAAGGAGGCCAAGAAGATCGGCTCTTGACAATACCCAGGTTCCAGCTTGGAGTCAGCAGGTACCACCCTGCTACTGACTACTGGGGGCAGTGTGATCGCACCTCTTCTGGAGCTGGCCAGGGTACTTGCCCTCAGTCCCCACTGTCAGAGAGCCAAAGGGCTCTCTCTCCAGGCTTAGGAACACCTCCCTTCCACTGTCCTTCCTGCCAAAGACCCCATCTTCCATGGGTCGTGGCTAGACTCTGGCTGTGACTATCTGTAGTTCTGATTCTGTCACCAACCCTACATCCTGTTCTGAGGTGAGGAAGATGGAATGGTACCCTTAATGACAAAGTCAATGACAATACAGTGTATGAGTTCCCCTTGGGGAAACATTCTGTCTATCTTTAGTCCACGCTCTCCAGAGGTCCCTGTGTGCAGTACTCAATAAGTTTCTGGTTTTTCTTGTTTGGGACACGTCACTACTACCTCCACTGTTCTGGCCTTCTGTTGATCTGTCCTCCTGTCTTCCTGGGGAACCAGAGCACAGCCTTCTGTCCCAATCAGGGTAGAAGTATCAAGCCTCTTCTAGCTAGGCACTATGCTCTGTGGTAACAGACACCTCAGACTGCGTGCAGAACAAGCAGATGGGCCTTGACCTCCACCAAGCATGGTTGACCACAATGACCTCAAGACAGGCTCATCTGTAGCCCTTCAAGCTGCCCAAGCTTGCATGGTCTGTGAGTTCAGGGTTTTCTGCCTGGCTGGGCTATGTAGCTGCTGCCCCCAGGCTGGGGCTGAGTCAAGATAGTGGGCAATGAACTGTTCAGGGACATTAAGAAGATGAAAATCCAGCCATGGTTTGTCCATCCCTTCACTAGGCATCTCATCCTGATATATGAAGATGGAGGGATCCAGAGCATCGAACCACTGGGCTTCCTAACACATGCAATTAGGTGTGGTCCTTGTAACCAGACAGTTTGGGCAGAGTGCTGACCCAGTTTTCACTAGGTTTATTCCAGATCAAGGTGCCAGAGTGGAGCCTTTCCTGCCTCACAGCCTCACAGTGGTAGGGTCAGTGGAAGGCCACTTCTTGCTTAGTTTCCATCTCCAGAGGGGCAGTGAGGCAGCAGTGTGGCAGCAGGATGGACCCTGCTGCCTTCGTTTTCCCTGGGAGACTTCTCTTTTACCTGCATAGTTTCCAGCCAGGAAACTGCCCTGCAGGGTAGGTGGGTAGAGAGGTAGACGCAGGGTCTAGCTCTCACAAACAGTTCTGATTTGAAGAATCACAAAACTCCCACTTTGGATCAGATTGGAGAGAGCTGCTCACAATAGGTCAGGTCTGCCTTTGAGCTCTAGGCCCAGGTCTTTCCAACCTCCATTCACTCATGGGAGCAGGGAGGATGGTCTCAGCGCATGGCCCTGCTCAGCACCAAACTATATGGGAGGGCCAAATGGCAGCCAAAAGAGATCTCACAGGAAGGAGCCGCCAGGGTTTGGGCCCAAGTGTCTCCACTGCTCACAGGCCTTTCACTCCTCAGCAGCTTAGACAGCTGGAGCTTGGAGGGGCATGCCAGGTTCCAACCCCGAAGGCAACTCAAGAACTCCAGACAAGCGGCTGCTGGTGTCTGACTGTGCCAAACAGGCTAAGAGCAAGAAGACAGAAAGCCCCAAAGCCCAGTGACTCTTCAGTCTGACTTAAATGATTTACTGTGACAAATGACATGGCTGAGGTCAAGAGTGAATAGACTGAGGTCAAGGGTGAGTAGGCTGAGGTCAAGGGCTGATTCCCAACCACAGACAGTGTTTCTCCCTCTGGGACAATACTCCCCCAGGTATCATACTTATCATTAGGGGTGACTGGAGACCACTGCACACATCAGGGTCCTAGTACCATGGGCTGAAAGGAGAAGTCAGGTCTCATGCTTCACTTGGTCCCTGAGGTGCTATCTCCTTCACTCTGGAAGTTTCTGAATGATGAATGGATCAAAGGGCGAAGAAACCCTTGCCTCAAATGGCCCCCTGTAGTCTGCCCTGAGTGGATCTGTCCTGGTTAGACTATAGATCCTATGCATGGACAGTGGGAGACCAGGTGGTGTCCATAACTGGCTTGACCACCCTGTCAAAATCGAGTACTGCCTTTAGAAGGCCAGCTGCTGTGGGTCCACTGTTCCTCATGGCCTCTGGCAGATCAGGAACTCTGAGGAAACTGCTGGAATTCAGGGTGTGGATTGGCCTTCTCCAGGACCCTGTGAGAGACCAGAGAGATGGTTCAGAATTGACATGGGGAACCCCCAAACCTGGTCTGGAGAGATGACATGGGACTGACTTGGGTGGGTGGCTGCAGGTGTCTCCCCTCCCAAGAAGACAGGAGAAGAACTCTTAAGACTTCAGTGGGTCAGTTTAGCCTGGGGTTCAGCCACAAGTAGCCAAGTAAGCTCTCTTTCTATTAACACAGTTTGGCCACTATGGTCCTGTCTGCAACATGGGAATGGGGCAGGCTGAGGGGGCCTGATGGAGAGAACAGGATACAGCCTTGTCTAGTAGTGTTAGCTTGATCCCTGGCCACATGTCCTTCTACCTTGCTCTGGAGATATAGGTCCTAAAAGATCAGGCAGCCACCTGCATGGGTTAGGGTCAGTTCTGGATGACATACCTAAAGGACAAGGGTTCCAGGAGCGGAGCTGCCGTTTTTAGTTAGGAGCAGGGGAAAGAGGACGCCTCTGGGAAAGTAAGACACCATGATGAGAAAGGTCAGGGCTCATTACCCAATCAGAATGGCCGGGATGAAGAGGAGGCCAGCTCCCAGGAGGAAGGGAAAGCCCTTCATGAAGTTTAGAGTGGCTGGGTAGAGAGAGTTGAAGATGCCGGAGGCCATCAACATGGCCAAGCTATTCACACAGGCCACCGAGGAAAAGAGAGCTCCTGTGAGGGAAGAAATACCATGCTTCAGAGTTGGAAAAACCAAGGGTCAAATGAGGGCAGTGCTACCTCATAGCTGCATGACCTGGGGCGAGACATTTGGCCATCCTTACCTGTAAAGACTCAGTGAAATTATACATGGGAAGTGCCTGGCAGAGGGGCTATTAGATACATAGCTGTTAACTGTTATTAAATTCATAGAAAAGCCTGTGTGGTACCTTTAACTTTTAAAAAATTATTATATAGCCGGGCATTGGTGGCGCATGCCTTTAATCCCAGCACTTGGGAGGCAGAGGCAGGAGGGTCTCTGTGAGTTCGAGACCCGTCTGGTCTCCAGAGCGAGTGCCAGGATAGGCTTCAAAGCTACACAGAGAAACCCTGTCTCAAAAAAAAAAAAAAAGAAAGAAAGAAAAAAAAATATTACATTTATTTAATGTGCATGGGTGTTTTGCCTGCATGGAGGCCTCTGTGCCACGTGAATGCCTGGTGCCACTGGAAACAAGAAATGGGCATCAGAATCAATGGAACTGGAATTGCACATGGTTGTGAGTCACCACATGGGTGCTGGGACTCAAACCCACGTCCTCTGGAAGAGCAGCCAGTGCCCTAAACTGCTGAGCCATCTCTGCAGCCCCAGTTTGGTTTGTTTTAAGAAATGGTCTCCCTGTGTGGCTCAGGTGGCCCTTAACACTGCAATTCTCCTGCCTCAGCCTCAAGTGCTAGGACCACAAGGGTGATTGCATTCATTCATGTGTGTGTGTGTGTTACTAGAGCCAGGCATGTGTGTGGAGGTCAGAGGACAACTTTCAAGAGCTGGTTCTCACCGGGCCTTGGTGGCACACTACTTTGATCCCAGCACTCAGGAGGCAGACACAGGCAGATCTCTGTGAGTTCGAGGTCAGCCTGGTCTACCCATCGAGTTCCAGGACAGGCTCCAAAACTACACAGAGAAACCCTGTCTCCAAAAACAAAAACAAAAACAAACAAACAAACAAAAAAGGGTTGGTTCTCTCCTCCCATGTGGATCCTAGATACCAAACTCAGGTTGTCAGCTATTGAATGGAAAGTACCTATCACAGGTGACCTACTAGAGGGGGCTGCTATTTCCCACAGTGAGAAATATGCTGGGTGAAAAAAGTCCACTGCCTGCAAACATGGTGAAACACAACTGAAATCCCAGCTTTCAGGAAGCTGAGGCAGGAGGATTTTGAGTTCAAGGCCAGCTTTTGCTACTTAGCAAGACCTTGTTTCAAAACAAATAAAAATATACAAAAGTATACTGAATGAAGGAATGAGGCATTTTAGCAGACACCGGGACCTGTGCCAGAACCCAGCTTTGTAACCCAGTTGTTGCAAATTGAGCAATAACCCAATAGAAACAGAGACTCAACTGTCTGACTACAAGGGCCTGCGAGTGTCCTGGGGAACAAAGGCCTCAATGTCATGGATAACAGAACGAGCCAGGGCTGGAGTCCAGCTACAAGAGCAGGTTGTGTGTGTGTGTGTGTGTGTGTGTGTGTGTGTGTGTGTGTATGTGTATGTGTGTGTGTAGCTGGATGAGTGGCTGAAGCACTTGCTATACTACCATGAGGACCAGAGTTCGTATGCTCTGTACCCACATAAAACCTTGGTGGGTGTGGTGGGCACCTGTAATCCCAGTGCTTGAGAGGTGGAGGCAGGAGATCCATGAGTGGTTAGCTAGACTGCCCACGTCAGACTCCATGTTCCTCAAGACTCTGAAGCCACATACATGTGAACGCATATACATATGCATTCATGAATCCCCATCCCAGTATTTACTGAGCAACCTTGAAGAACTCAATTTAACCCTCTAGGTCTCTGCTTCTTCATTTGACCACTAGGAACAACGAGGCCTATGGCATAGGTTGTTAATTCCCTCTGGACTTGTATACTATGACCCCAGCAAAGCAGGAAGCACTGGTATCATCACACCCACTTTACAGATGGGAAAAACGAGGTCTGAAGAGATAAACTCCAGGTGAGAGGGTACAGACTGGCCCTGATACTCACCCTGCTCCGACTTGCTCACCAGCTTGGAGAGCTTGGCCCGGATGACAGGTGTAGTGACCAAAGACAGGAAAAGCAACCCATACCCTGCAGAGAGAAACACTGGTCAGGAAAGAGATCAAGGAAGGGGTCCTGACAGCAGCAAAGCTCCTACATACAGACCAGGAGGGACAGATGCTGGACCCAAGAGGAAAGGACAGCAGCTTTCTCCAGGCTCTCCTATCCGCTCATTCTTCCTAAATGAGAGCTAAGCCCTACCGATGGCTTTATTGGAATACCCGATGGACACTTGGCTCTAGAAGGGAGATGCCAGGACCCAGAAAATGAGCATGGGCTTTGGAGTTGGCCCTGAGTTCAAAACCCTGTACCATTGCTTACTATGTGTATGTGAAACCTTGTCTAATGAACTTCTTTGAACCTATCTCCTGTCCTGAAACAGGAAGACCGAAAACCTCTACCGGAGGATGGTTCTACAGTGTCGGGGGTTGACTGACAGCCACAAAGTCAGGCCCTAAACCTGTGAACTGTCTTCTATGGAAATTGAGTCTTTACAGGTATAATCAGGAAGGACCTTAAGAGAGGCTCTCCTTTATCAGGCGACCAGTCTCAGACGAGGCCTGCCACTGCAGCCTCAAGCAAATGGGATACAGCTTCCCTCCCGATGCCCCTGAGGGAACATTGCCCTGGGACCTTCTGATTTCAGCTCAGTAACTCTGATCCTGGACTTCTGGCCTGTCGCACTGAGAGAATACCTCTCTGTTGTTTAAGCTACACAGTGTGTGGCAATGTGCTTCAGCCACCTTGGGATGAGGGGGTGACCATCTGTGAAGGGCACGTATTGAGCACATAGCTTGTGAGTTCCCTTGCTCCTGGCATCCGGCTACTTCTAGCCATACAATGTATGGCTCTGGCTCAGCATTTTATCTCAGCACTGCCCAGGGTCGTGGCCTTCGGTGAATTGGTCCCCAGTCCCTTCGGCTTCACTGTGAGTCCAGCAGTGGAGTTAACACAGCTGCTGCTATCAAATGGATGACTCTGCACAAGGCAGTTCCAGGCTCTAGCAGAATATTTACCTTCTTTTAGAAAGGTAACTTCTTCATTCTCTAGCCAGCGGGTAGAGAGAGGGAAGGGAAGGGAGGGGATGGGAGGGGAGGAGAGGGGAGAGGAGGGAAGGGGAGGGGAGGGGAGGGAAGGGAGGTGAAATGAATCAGCAGGAATTTTAGAGATTTTGACTTTTTAACAAATGCAAAAGAGAGCTGGGCAGTGGTGGTGCACACCTTTAGTCCCAGCACTCGGGAGGCAGAGTCAGGCAGTTCGAGGCCAGCCAGGTCTACAGAGCGAGTGCCAGGACAGGCTCCAAAAATACACAGAGAAACCTGGTCTCAAAAAACAAACAAACAAACAAACAAAAACCCAAAACAAAACAAAAAAGCCCAAATGCTATAGAAGGCAGAGTAAAGTTTTTAACGCCTGTGATTCTAGGATCTGGGAGGTAGAGGCAGGAGGATCAGAAGTTCAAAGTCATCTTTGGCTACACAGAAAATCACTTGGCCAAGGCTGAGCCTGTCTCTAAACAAATAAATAAGATCCTTTCGGGAGGGAGGCCCTGTGATTCTTATCTGAGAGCCAAGGAACAAGATATTAATAACTTGGACTTTGCTTAAGAACACTGTATATAAGCTATAGGAGGCCAAGGGGTGAATCAATTAGCTTATGAGCTATGCTTCTGTCTTTTGCTCTGCATTCCTAACAATATTTATGGTTGATAACATGCATTAATTACTTTGGCCACTGAAGCTCTACATTTTCTGTATATCAGACGTGGTATTTTCTGGGGTTTCTCCGTTGTCTGTCCTCTGCACAGGCTGACAGTGTAACTCTAGGTCCAAAGACACAGGCTTGAAGCACATTTGGGGGCAACGAGTGGACGGCCCTGTTTTCACTTTACCTGTGAACATGAGGGGTGTGGTGGTAGCAAATGCAAAGACTACCATGCCCAGGATATTGAAGGATAGGCCAATCTCAGCCACCCAGGTGTCTGCCAGGCAGTATTGCATTAGTTTTAGGCCCACCAGGCTGGTGAGGTAGGTTAGGTGCTGGGCTGCAGAGCCATAGCCAACAAGCTTGGAGTCCCAGCAGAGGGGCGTGCTCAGCTCATAGAGTGTCAGGATGTCTTGAGCCCCAAAGTGCACAGTGATCACAACGAAGATGGCCAATGAGTACAGCGCTATATGCTTCCTGGACTTCTCTGGGGCTGCGACTGCATACAGGTTGACAATGGCTTGGTGATGGTGGAGCGTGAAAAGCCTGGCGGACTTTGGCTCCTTCACTGTTTCACCAAAACAGAATGCTGCATACAGAGTCATGACGATCAACAGGGCCAAAGCCAGCCAAAAGGGATTGGCATAACCCTGGGCCCGGAGCCAATGGCCCCCGAGAAGGCTTGCCAGGGTCCCAGCCACACCAATGCACGCTTCCAGCAGAGCCATACGGAAGGTGCGACTGTGGTTAGAGCTGACATCCGCCACAGAGGCAAAGCTAGCGGCCAGGAGGCCATTGAAGTCTCCTAGAAGGGCACAGAGGACTCGGCCAAGCACGAAGAAGCCGACGTGCAGTTGTAGCTGCACCACAAAGATGTACACCACGACCTGGAGCAGCAGGCCAAGAGAGGACAGCACCAGCAGTGGGCGGCGACCCACGCAGTCACTCCAGGCTCCCAGAAGGGTGGACCAGAAAAGTCCCACCAGAAAGCCTCCCAAGTTCATGTAGAGGGTCCAGTGGGAAGTCAGGGTCTCCACTTCCTGTAAAGATAGAATCGCCAGGGCTCAGGCCCTCACTTTGGTTAGCTGCCATCATCATCCTGGGAGCTACAGGGTTGAGGCCTCACTTTGGAGCCCTAAGCCTCTTGCTTGGAACGTTCGTTGAACGTGTAAAAACAGACCCTGGAGAAGCATTCCCTCCGTCTCCACACTTAGGTTAACGCTCCAGGCTAGGCATTCTCTAGGCCCACTACCCGCACCACAACGCGGTCCTCAGCCCGGGCAGGGCCCCTTTGCCCCGGCTCCGCCCACCACGCCACGTGCATCCCTTCTCAGGGACCCCATCTTCCGCAGGCCCCGCCCCGTGCCGTGCTCCGTGTCCACAGCTGCTCTGCTCCCCGCTACCTGCATGATGGGATCCGCGCTTTGGTTCCCGCAGTTCCCCCGGTGGCGGGTGCCATTGTAGCCGAGCTCGGTGCTGAACCGGTGCCACAGGTACTGCGTGGTGAGCGGGCCTTGCAGGACCAGAGCAAAGTTGGCCAGGAAGACGACAGGCTCCACGGGGCCGCGGAAGAGCACGGCCGCGGCGGAGATGCTGTGGGACGAGCCCGCGGGGCTCACGCGCCCCTCCATGAGCGAACGCGGAGGGGCTGGCACCTCGGGACCAGCTGCGGAAGGCCCGGGCCAGTCGACGTTGTCTGCGCCGGCGCGGGCCTCCGGCTCCTCTCCCTGTTAAAGTCTGGAGGGGCGGGGCATGAGATTTCAGCCTCCAAAAGTTTGGCCCGCCGCTGTTCTCTAGGCTGGGTGTAGTCGAGCTAGAATCCCTGTGGGATGACCTCACTTCAAATAGCTCAAAGATACCAGCTTGCCGCAGCCCTCCCTCTTGGGCCCAGGAACACTCAAATGAATAATTAGAGTATCAATAATTAACATTAATTGAACATTTACTTTGTTCTGGGGCCAGAAACTCTGAGTGTATTATCTCGTGGCAACCTTATAGACTAGCCATTTAATGATCCGAATCCAGAGATGTGGAAGTCAGGTCAATGGGTACGCAGGGCTAGAACACAAGACTGGGTGTGCCTGCTGTGTGGTGTCTGCAGCTGTACAAGGACAGCCAGAGCCTGACGGCCTACGCAGGAGCACTTCATCTGGAAGAAAAACTGCGCGGAGGCCGGGACTGTTGGCACACACCTTAAACCCCAGCACTCAGGGAGGCAGAGGCAGGAAGTCCCAGGCCAACCAAGGCTATATAGTGAGATCTATACATACTTTCAGACCAGGCCAGCCTCAAACTCATAGAGATCCTCCTGCCTCAGGCTTCTGGGTGCTGGGATTAAAGGCATGCCCACTTGCTGTTATACTTAATAGCTATCGGCTATTGTTAATAACTAATAGGCTGTCCCTTGCCCCTGCTCTTGCCCCGGGAGCCTTTCCTGGAGCTAGTTTCACTTCTAGGGCTGGGATCTGATTCTGCAATTCACTTAGAAGAGCAGAGACAAGATGAGGAGACTGTTGAGGTCCCTGGGTATGGTCCTGTGCTCTTGGGTGCTCGAGGTTGCAGAAACTGGGCCAGAAAGCAGACACCTGCAACTGTTGCGGAGCTCTCCGACTTCCTGTCTGTCTGGGCTTTGTTTTATTGCCTGTGAGAAAGGAATTCACAGTAACAGCTCTCCTCCACCATTTCTTCGTTCATTCATCTGGTGCTTTTACTGAGTACCCCGGAGGTCTCAGAACACGATGTCGAAGGAAACAGACAAAGCCCCCGTCACACACACACTTGGTAGCTTCTAGATTAGGGGCCAGAGACAAAGACCGATTGAGTAATCAGAGTCCAACCATGACAGACGCTTTAAAGGGTAGGAATAGCGGCTTCTGGTGCTCATGTGGGGGCAGAGTCAGCGAAAGGCTTAGAATAGGTGGGTGCCAAAAATCCCTCACATGGGCTTCCAGAGAGAAACAATTCTACTTCAAATAATCAGGCCTCTCTGCACACCCCCATCCTATCACTCCCGTTTGTCCCTGCCCATAGCAGTGGGGTCAGGGTTCTCAACTTGTGGGTCATGACCCCCACAGGGATCTTATATGAAATAGTTACATTCAAAGCCGAGCGTTGGTGGCGCACACCTTTAATCCCAGCCCTTGGGAGGCAGAGGCAAGCAGATCTCTGAGTTCAAGGCCAACCTGGTCTACAGAGTGAGTTCCAGGACAGCCTCCCAAATAATACAGAGAAACCCTGTCTCAAAAAAAAACAAACAAAAAAAAAAACTACACTTACAAAGTAGCAATGAAAATAATTTTTGTTTGGGGTCACCACAACACAAGGAACTATAGAACTATATTCAAAGGTTGCCGCATGAGGGAGGTTGAGAACCACTGGGCTAAAACCTTGCAACTATTTCCTAGATAGAAGCTGAGGTCAGGAGAGGTCAGAGTCTCAAAGTGGAGAGTGGGACAGGGTGTGTCTATGTGTCCATTAACTAGATCCCTCTTCTCTGTTGACTTCACTTGGTAAACAGTTCTACCCAAGTCTGGCTTGGTGAACTGGTGAGTTTATTGAACTTTTTTTACAGGAGCATGAGGACCATCATCAAAAAGTCTCACTCTGGCCTGGTCTCCAGAGCGAGTGCCAGGATAGGCTCCAAAGCTACACAGGGAAACCCTGTCTCAGAAAAAAAAAAAAAAAAAAAAAAGTCTCACTCTGGTAGCTGCATAGTCAGAGTCCCCCTTTCAAGTAGCCTTCACCCTGTACTGTCTTGTATGCCCAGAGGCATCCTACCACAGTGGGAGGATTACAAACAGCTGGGAGAGGGCACAGAGGGAGGGAGAAGCAGAAACCTCAGCCATGGCCTGGTTGTCCTCCCCACTCCCTCCTACTATGAGGGATGGTCAACATTCCTTGAACACAGCTCAGCCCATCCAGTGATTTCCATTTCACTAGTGAAAGCCAAGTCATCCTGCAAGCCACAGCCACCTGGGCCAACTCAACCCTGTCCCTGCTCCCCCTTCCCCCCCAACTCTGGCCTCCCTTCACTCTGGCTTCACTCAGTTCCCTTCCAACTTGCTCATCAGTCTTATTTCTGCACCCGCCATCTCTTCTACCTGGAATTCTGTTCTCCCAGATGTCCATGCCACTGGCTGCCCCACCTCTGCTAAAAATGTAAGCTGACCCTATGATTTATGACAGCCACTCCCTCCCCCTCCTCCTGTCACTCCCTCACCATGGGACTGTTATGACTCTCTTGTCTGTTGTTTGTCTCCCTCTCTTAGACACCGAGGATCTCAGGTCCTTCGGTACTGTATCCCCAGCCTCCAGAATGGTATCTCACACATGGTAGTTGCTCTAAAGAGCAGAAAGGGCTCCCCAGCTGGATCCTAGGGCCATGTCAGTGGGGAGCTGTCAATGGGGAGTTGTGCTGGGAAGGGCAGAGTTCAAGAATCTATATTTAGAAGGAAGCCAAGAAATCACCTGTCACCCACTTGGAAGACAGGGAGAATAAAATGACCCTGCCTTTCAAATCCCCAAAGCGGGCACGACGTGATCACAAAGCAGGTCTACGTATTGACTCCATAGTTGAAAGGCACACAACAGAACAGTTTGAAAATGTCCTTCCCCTGCTTCCCACCACTCTTGTGTACCAGGGACCTAACACCAGCTAAGCGAGCACCTTATCACTGAGCTAAGTCCTCAGACCCACAAAATGGTCCTTATAAAGTGCGATGAAGGGATCTGGAAAGGTGGCTCAGCAATTAAAAACACTTGTTGCTCTTGCAAAAAGACCCAGGTTCGGTTCCCACCACCCACTTGGCAGCTCATTGTCTATAACTTCAGTTCAGGGATCTGACACACTGTCTTGACCTCTGCAGGCACCAAGCATGCACATGGGGTCCATAGACATACAAACAGGTAAACACTCATACACATGAATAAATCTTTAAGATTTCTCCATATGGGGGCTGGAGAGATGGTTCCACAGTTTAGACCACTGGTTGCTCTTCCAGAGGACCTGGGTTCAATTCCCAGCATTCATATATGGTGACTCACAACATCAGTAACACCAGTTCCAGGGGAATCTGATGCCCTCTTCTGGCTTCTGCAGGAACTGCACATGGTACACAGACATAAGTAGGCAAAAAACCCATACACATAAAATAAATGTTTTAAAAAGCCCTAAACTGGGCGGTGGTGGTACATGCCTTTAATCCCAGCACTAGGGAGGCAGAGGCAGGCAGAGGGCAGCAGGATAGACTCAGAAAAACTCTGTTTTGTTTTGTTTTTTCGGGGAGGGGGTGGTAACCAGAAAAAAAAAAACTTTTTTAAAAAAGTATTCCTCTCAATCCAGTAATTGGATAAAGATTAAGCCCTCCCGGGAGGTTACTGCACAGCAACGTGACACACACACACACACACACACACACACACACACACACACACCCTGAATGGAAAAAGAAATAAAAAGGAAAGGACATGACTGCTCCTAGGTGTGGTGGAGGAGAAAGTTTATTGTAGATGAAAAGGGAGAGCATAGCCAGAGGCAGAGACATCTGGGAGAGTCCAGAGAGGGGATGACAATGAGCCTTTAAGGACATGGGAGAGGGGAGAGAGTGGAACCAGGCACAGCAGCCAGGAGGCCCAAAGAGGACGGGGAACCAAAATGATTGGTTTATATAGGGAAGGGCAGCTAGGAGGGAAGAGCAGCCCGTCCTCTGGCCAAGAAAAGTTTAGGGTGGGGGCAGGGTATGCCAGCCATACTCTGTGGGGGTCAGGACTGAAGGATGCTGGGAGAACCTGCTGGCCAGATCCACTTTGATATGTTAAATAGGCACCTCATCCATTTCTGCCAAGGTTTGAGACTTAACATACTCTAGCATCTGAATGGGAACCATGGTAATTTTGCTTTTATTTTTGTATCCAACACATCAGCAAAATTACTTGTGTTTTGTTTTGTTTTGTAGTGCAGAGGTTGCTAGCCAGGGTTGTACCACTGAGCTGACTCTCCAACCTCCATTTTACCTTTTGTTTCTGGAGACAAGATTCACACTAAATGGTCCTGGCTAGACTTAACACTCACTCTGTAACCCAGGCAGGCTTTGATTTGTCCCGCTTACAATTTTATTTTAAGCAAGGATGCCCAAAGTGGCCCCAGAGCTCTGGAGAAACAAATGCTGCTGAAAGGGTGTGAATGTGACTCTCTGGAAACAAAGTAACCAATCCGAATCAAGACTCATTTTTTTATTTATTTTAGCTTTTGTTCTTCAAGAGAGGATTTCTTAGTGTGGCCCATCCAGACTCTTAAATCCTACTGGAGAGATGGCTCAGCAGTTAAGAGCACTGGCTGCTCTTCCAGAGGACTTGAGTTTAATTCCCAGAAACCACGCGGTGGCTCACAGCTCTGGTTTCCTCTTCTGGTGTGCAGGTAGAACACTGTTTACATAATAAATAAATCTTTAAAAAAGGATTAATCTGAAGTATGGAAGATGACGGTACATGCCACGTTCTCCAGAATGCTATGATTTCAGTAAAAACCAAAACAAAAACTTGTAGACAGACTGGCCGGTGGCGGTGCCCACCTTTTGAGAGGCAGAGACAGGCAGAGACAGGCAGATCTATGTGAGTTCGAGGCTAGCCTGGTCTACAAAGAGAGTTCCAGGACAGCCAGGACTGTTACACAGAGAAACCCTGATTAAAGGTGTCCTCCTTCTTAAATCTGTT